CATGCAGAGGCTTTCGATTTTTGTTGTATTGGGTAGTCAACAGGCATAATAACGGCCTTTTCTGTATTCATTCGTTGATTCAAATACAGTAATATAGACATTAAAACCTGTACCGCAATCGTATCATGTTTTAGAACTTATGATATTGCAACAAAACTTCAAACTGATTCCATATAATAAATTACAAACTAATGAATTGTAGCTTGATCAATGTTCAAATGATGACATTGAACAGCAACCTGAAGTACAAATCAGTTATTTTCAGCATTGACGTAGCTACTGGGGGTGCCAAGGGGGCCAGGCCCCCTCCAGAATTATCTAGGCCCCCCAGGACTTTTGGTGTTTTTTTTTATTCACCGGAATTTTGTCAAGCTTGTCAAGTTCGATGTTACTAATCTTTTTTTAAAGTCCTTTATGTTGACTACTTTTCTTACGTTCTGGACTAGAAGAAGCAATTTTGATAAATTATATTATATCGATATTTAATCGATGGCATAATAAGACGTCTACAGCATCTACAAATTGGTAATGAGCTCAGGGATTTTTCTTTAACTTCTGGGAACTTTGTTAAACTTCAAAGACTTCTAAGAAGTTCAGGGAACATCGTAAAAATTGAGAAAACTTGTTAGAAATTTTGGGAACTTAATAGATCAACAGGAAAAAATCGTAGAAACAAGAAACTTGGAAAAGTTCTGAAAACTGCGTAGAAGTGGAAAATTTATTTGAGTTGGAGAAGCTTCGTAGAAGTTAAGGGAACGTTATTTTATTTCAGGGAAGCTCATTATTGATCGGAAACCTCTACATAATTTCAGGACACTTTTTTGGAGCCTCATGGTCTTGGAATAGTTGTGGACATTACGTACAAATGCTAGAAATTTCGTTCGTGGAACTTCGCGGAAAATCACCGAGAAACATAGAAGTACAACAAAATTTGTAGAAGTTTTGCGAATTTCGTAGCATTTTGAGGAGCTGCGTAGAACTTCATATGAGTGTAAGGAAAAGTTCAGGGAATTTTGTAGAAGATCTAAAGATAGTTCTATAAACTTCTAGGAGATCTTAATTCGAAAAAGCTCTATCAACTTTTTCGGGGGTTTTGAGAACTTCGTTAAATTTCAAGGAACTTTCCAGATGTTCAAGAATATTGGTAGATGATAGGTGCCTTTCCAGAAGTGCAAAGATGTTCAGAGATCTTCGTAGAATTAAGAGAGATTGACAAAATATGGAATTTGGAATAAATTCAGGGAACTACGTAGAAGTTGAGGAAATTTAGTAAAAGTTAAGGGAGTTTTGTAGACGTTCAGGAAACGTTGCATAAGTTACAGGATATTCTTTCATTCATCATTTCTAGAAAGCAGGAAATATTCAAAAGATCTCAATATAGACAAAGATATTAGTAAAGTTCTCTTAATATTTTTCAAAAACTTCAGGTTGATCAAGGTCTGAGGAACTCCAACTGATTAAAAAAATCAATGTTCTTTCAAGACTGTAGGTTGTTCAGGAAGTACCGTAATCCGGGGGGAAATTGATCACCGGGGTGAAATAGATCATAATGCGTTGCACTTTTAATTTTCACGTATAACGTATATCATCATGAGACTCCAATGATTGCCTTGATCTCTTTTCCTAACAAAAAGAAATTATTTTTGCATAAATTTCAATTTTATAGATCTGACGTTAAGTAGCATACAATATAAACATCCAAACAAACGATCATAGGACTGCAACTATTGATATCATTACTATTAAAGTATCATGTTTTACTAAACTAAGTGTCAATGAATCCGAATTATTTTGAAAATTGCGGTACAATGTTTCAAATATCAAGAAATCCAGGGTTTTTCGCAAAATTACCAGTAATTTTGAATGAAATTGGCGCAACTGTGCATTTAAGACTTCTTTTTCGGCGTTTCTGCTCAAAACACTTTCCACACAAGGGTTTTAGCATCTGAATCGGATTCAGGGAACCCACATTTAATTACTAGGGAACTGGGCACTGGGAAGCCATTTGAGGGGTTGATAAATTTCACCCCATATCGATAATTTAAAATTAAGGATTTCAACAATTTCCTAAAAATTAACAAAACATCCAATATTATAATAAATCATGCAGGACAATGGAGCCCTCATAGCTACTGATTTAAATACCATTAGTTTTTCAATTTACTTTATTGTAGGAATTTATTTATAGTGATCAATTTATCCTCAGATTACGGTATTAAAAAAGTTTTCCAGCTAATTGAATCTGATGGAATCTTGAAATATGAATCTATGTAGATTATATGGACATGTTTGTACATTCTCTATAGGGAAGACCCGTGCCTTGGTGATTTAGCTATATTGGTAAGAATTAGCACTCCCTCAGCTGATTTCCGAGCATACATTTTAACGAAAAGTGGAAATTTCTACACATATCTAATGTGTACAAATTTATTTCTTTACGATGAAATTTATTCCCGGAATTCAGCTGCAGGATAGTTTGAATGCCTTAGCACATACAAAAATCCGTGCTTTTTGTGTGTATTTTATGATTCAAAAAGCTCGTGTAAATAAAATAATTGGTTCCAAATGGGTATAACCAAAGCTAACTTCATTTAAAATTTAAAAAAATCCCAATGCTTTTGTAAAAATAAATTCAATTATTATCTAGTCACAAACAGAGACACAATCATTTAAGTTACGAGTTCATTCCTTTCGATTAGAATTAAAGTTAAATCTTGATTGACTCCGAATGTTAGTTGGTCCGATGCATCGAATAAAAAATTGTTCTGCATAAGTGCTTTATTACTTTCTTTTCTCTTCAAATATCAGAATCATGACAAATTATAACCAGACTTTTCAGCATTTTTCGAAATTTTTAAAGCCTAACCTTGAACATATTTAAGTCCTGTCCTGAAATTTATTCTGTTTGCACTTTATTATGTTTCAAATTCAAACTCCTAGAAATTAATTTTGGTTCCTGTCTGAGATTTAACTGATGATGAAATATTCAGAATCTAAAAAAAAAAGCTAGTTACAAAATTCGTGGAATCATCTAACTCTGCGCAGTTTCTTAAGTTTGAGATGGTTAAATGTTTGACATCCGGTCGCTATGTAATTTCATTACACAAAGCATCAACAAAGGATCATTGCTTGTTCAAATTCAGTAAGTTTTTAAGGCTCCCCCAATCGAGGTCCCAGTCATTGCTATGAAATAAATATAATCAAATTTATTGTTTCACCATTAAAATAAAAGTCAGTTTCAATGTCATATTATTGGTCACAGAAAAAATGTACCCAAAAACAAGCATCTTCGCGAGTTTTTATTTAACCGTAGTTTAGCAAAAAAAAAAATCAACAGGCTCCCCTAGGCCCCCTCCAGATAAACTTTCTAGCTACGCCAATGATTTTCAGCCAAATCACAAATAATTATGACTTCTCCATCTTTGAATGAAGTTTGAAGCTTAGTTTTTATGTGTTAATAGTTTTTCTAACTTGTCGCTAATATATGCTACAAATTCATCGACTGGTTTCTATAGTTTTTATAATAGAGAGGGTCTAGTATACTATACTAGACCCTCTCCAGTTATAATTTACATCTACCAATAGTAATCCATCATATCTGTTAGATTTAATGTAATCTGTTGATTCGAATAGAAGAGGTTTTCCGCTCACTTGAGGAGGGGTAAGGTTGGTCCTTCTGAAGTATGCTTTTCCCTCTTTAATAAATAAATAAATGATCAATCTTTGACATTTGTGCTAAAAAGTCGGCCATTTTGAATCTCACAAAATTTTTCGAAATTACGTTGTCAATATGTTTTAACAATCATGACTCGAAAATGTCACATCCAATTGAAATGGCTTCTGAGACAATGGGAAAACCTAATGCTATTTCAGAAAAATATAATCACGGTAAAAAGTTTCCAGTGTATTTGGGTAAAAATTAAAAAAAAAAATTTATAAGAAATAACAGAAAATAACCCTTTTTAAATAAAAAAAAAAAATTGAAAAGCTTATAAAAACGCACTAAAAAATTTGCAAAAATCATAGAACAACAAGTTTTGGTAATTTTGTTTAACGTTAGCACATAAACCTGAGTGAACGCTTATGGATTATAAAATCGTAGTTTGCGACACTCTCAAAGCGAAATTGATGTCAAACACACAATTTTAAACCTCTTCAAGTACAAACATTAATTATATCATCCAATGGTTCCATAATTCCGAAAAATATTTTTAATAGCGAAGTAAGTCGAAGCAACCCTGGCTTGTAAGCTACAAGTAGAGCTGGTAAAGCAGTGTGTTTGACATATAAAACCTAGTTGGAGATGCTTAACGACAGGTATCAGACTTAAAGTGGTCATTTTATACGATCGATAATGAGATGAAAGTATAGAGTTGATAGTTACGTTAGAGTACAGCAGTGTGAACATTGTATATAGAGAGTAGAAAGCAAGCAAAGGTCAATTTTGAGGAAGACATGAATCGTGTTGATCATCTCTTTTACGAAACTCCATTGTTGGGGTTCTACTCTTTATATACAATTTTCACACTACCGTTATCTTGCAGAAGTATTAACTCTATACTTTCATCTCCTCATCTATCGTATAAAATGACCACTTTAAGCCAGATATCTGACGTTAAGCATCTCTAACTATGTACATCGTTAACTTCACGCATGGAACAATACAAACATGATTAGTTAAAGTATATAAAACCTGTAAATTTTACACTCAGAAAGTCACAACTGTTTATTGATCGGTGAATATTCACTCTTAATGAAGAGTCAATATTCACTTATCATAAAATTGTGACTCTCTGAAAGCGGAATTGACATGTTTCATGTGTCAAATACATACTGTATAACCTCTTCTTGTAACTTACATGTGCAACATATTATGTAGACCGTTTCATGATACGCTGACTAATACATACTCCAGAGGAATTAGGTTTGAATTACGCCATATGTAAAACACCTAGAGAATTTTAATTTTCGGATGGTCAAAACATACAACCAATCTATACATAATCCTGTTGATTTTATTGTAAAACTTTAAATCAAATAACTTATAATACAGCTTAGTAATATCTACAACAATACTGTCTGACGACGTGATACTAAAGGCACTATACTTGGCAAACATAATACTTGAGTGAGTGCTACTAATCCTATGCAATAGCTATTATTTTCATTATCATCCAATTTTAGCTCAGACCCTAGTTTTCGGGATTTCCTAGCGTATGCTTTACGTTCATATAATATCGGGTTTGAATTGCCTGGTCAAAACAAAAAGATACTTATTTCGAAGAACCGAGCCATGCAGTATCTACTACCAATTTGCACATGTACTACCTGTAGCTGAAACATACATCCTACATATACTCTCGTAACTGCTACCTACCACGCTAATTAGATTAACCGATCCGCGAGCACACCAGCAGGCAGTGTACTATATGCTACTGTCCACTCACGCTCGCCTTACGTGCCCTGCACTTTCATCGGTCCGCAGCAGTGGACAATCGATTTGGATCCAGCCGGTGTGTGTGTTTACCTACATAGTCATCAATAATGTTCGATATGCTTCGTCGTGTACACACTAAAATTAAGTTTCTTGTACTCTTTCATCAATCGGCATCTGAATGCACGCCGGACCCCTCTCTTATCGTATTCCTATTTTGTATGAGGTTCAAAGCAGACGGTTGGGACCAACTGGCATGACGTCTCAGCGCTCGCTCTCATAGAAATATGCTCTCGTTCTGAGTAAATCCAATGTTGCTCAGTCCATTTTCCGAATTGTCCCGCGGGAAGTGTTTGTCAATGCGCCTGAAAGTAGATACAAGATACATACGATTGAGTTGAGCGAGCCCCCTGGATGATGAATGATGCTAACGAGCTACGTGAAGCGACGAGTGATTGAATTTAGGCGAGTTCGTTTGGGAGTTGATTTGGACAATACACCCACTTACTAGCTGAACGCTGGTTGTATGTAGGTAGACTTGTGGGTTATTGAGAAGGTTATGCATATCTCATTTTGCGTAGGGGGATTATGCATCCGTATAATGTCCCATTTGTGTCTCCTATGAATGTAACAACAAATTTAAGAGCAATATTTGATTTTCCATTGTAATAAAATGTTTTCAAGTTAAATTGATCTAAATTTAATGCTGTATGTTGATCACGGTGCCATAATCCGATATTCAAATCACGTCCAAACTAGTTTGAATTCTATGTAAAACCGTATGCCATCCACCCCGAATGCACTCCGGAAGTAACGGGCAGGCAGTCGTTCGAAAAGTTCACAGCTATCTGTTATCTTACCTCGTATCGTCGTCGGTGGACCGCGTGACACTGCTCACCACGCTACCCACACTTCCGCTGTCACTTCGCTGGCGTTGGTGCTTCTTGCTGAGTTTATCCTTGAGTGCGATTAGCGACAGCCCACCAATTATGCTGCACACTCCCATCACCGTAATGGGAAGATACTGGTCAACGTGTTCCTGCGAATACATGAGGTGGAAAGAGATGGGTTAGCATAAGACGCACTTAGTTTGCTTGAATACGCTAGCAAATTGAATAAAATGTCCTTTCCATCGCTGGGATCGGACCGGAACCGCATGGGACAGACATGCTCGGGTGAGCAGCATGTATGAACTCCTTTGGGAAGGTTATCTCAATACGGTAGAGAGTTTCTGTTGCAGGTGCAGATGCGAAGAAGGGATATTGCTTTGATAGCGGAACCGGTCAAGTGCCGAACGATCTGAACAATCATTGTTATTAATTGCATTAAACTAAAGCAGTTGAATTAATTACGGCCGATTATTTCGTGCAACACAGACATTGCATTGGACGAGAATCGTGCTGTGTTGGCTATGCCGCCAATAGGTATATTTATTACAGATATAGGATAGACAAAACGTATGTTAAATGGGCATTGAGGAACAGCCTGTTAGGAACTGATGATGTTCAAAATGGTCCGCATAGGATCACGTACGAACCATTGAGGCATACCTAGATATGTAAATTGATGCTAGACATGGTACATGGTTCAGTTGTTCTGCTAGAATGATGGAATTTAAATGCATAGGCATTGAAGGTAGCAAACTGCACCAGGTGCTTTGCTTAGGAAGTTGTTGAATGTGGCTTATGCTACATGTGGTATGGTTCAATTAAACGAATAGAGAAACTATATAGGGGAAATGGCTCTAATGTTGGCCTTTGGATCTAAGATTAGGCCCATCGATAAAAATCTTCCAGTACTAATGGATATCTTTGGTCGCTATTGAAAATTTAGTCGATTGCTGAATTTATGTATGGGCCCAAATTAGGAGCATTTAGGCCGAAATTACATCCATTTCCCCTACCATTTTGTTATAATTTGCTCGAAAGCACGAGTTCTGATAATCATAACACGACTTCAATAGATTTCTCCCAACGGTTCCAAAACTCAACTTGTAATATTACCTCATAGATGTACAGCTTTCTTTTTGAAACCGAGCAGTAGTCACAAAGTCACTATTAAATATAAAATGTTGCTCTAAAACCAGCGAACCTCTCCACCATGAATGTTGTGGGATAAAATAATTCCCACAAATACGTTAATGATAACGTAACAGGCAGTTGTGTTTTCCTTATCAGAAAAGTCGGTTTATACGTCAGCGAAGTAGGGGAAGAAGGGGTATAACGATCATACGGAGTGATTTAGGTACTCCTTTGTTGGTCAATTTGAAGGACAACCCTAATTAAAATTATCATTTTAATAAATTTACACGATTTATAATGTAAATTTGTATGATTTATGACGCTCCATTTATGTGCATCATAGTAACGGAAATTTACACTACTTTTTTTTAGCTGTGTAGAATGTCGTATCTGTAAATTGAAGAAAGGGTGCTCAGCTCGCCCCATACGCTCATTATTCCCCTTCATCTCCTGTCTATTGACTATGACTTTTCTCTAACCAAACGTTTGGTTTCGAATAAGAATGTGTTTAGTATAACATTAATTGAAAATTAGGGGGATTCAGCTCGTAGACAGGTTCTCCACCTCTAATAGTAAGCATCATAGCAAAGCGTCAAACGTATGCATTTCCAAAGGCTTGTTAAACATTAATTTGAATTTCCTACATCAATTTGAAGGAGCATCTCCAGCGTCCCTACCATTAGATGGTGACGCATTACCTCTGGCTGCATTCATGCTTTTAGATTATCCTTGTTTTGTGTGTGCTTTCTTTAGCGTTTTGAACAAAACCCTACCTTGAAAATTAACTAACCCCTTTTCATTATCTTATTAGAATATTCTCATGCATTTCCTTTGCAATCAGTTCCTCTTATAGGTATTATTTAAGAATTCTTCTAAAATAAGTTTGAGATTCTCTATGGGAGTCCCTAAAAACTGTATTTATAACAGTCTAGAAATTATTTGCAGATCAATGCAAAAAGCACGAAAGCATCCGGAGATTTTCTTCGAAGTTTTTTTCTTCTATAATTCTATTTAAAATTCATTTGAATTCTATTTGAAATTTACCCCAGAATTGTCTAAAAATTATGCTAAGAATTTTTTTTAAATTCTCTAGAAATTCGTTCCGTAAAGCCCTTGGAATTCTCTTCAAATTATTCTCAGAATGTCTTTGGAATTTTACGCTCAAAATTCATTTCTCTTAGACTGAATCTGAACTTACATAAGTGACTTTGCGTTAAAGTATTTAATCCCAAAGAGTTCTTTCTTAAACGCCCTCCAATTTTTCCTGACATATCTTGGTTATGTCCCTGTTATTCATTCTAAAATGTAAAATCTTCTCAAATTCCTTTGTAATTTAAAAATCTCGTCTGGTTCACGAATATTAAAATATTTCAAATGCTTAAAATCTTATGTTTTTCTGAAAAATAGATTAAGCAATTGTCCCGATTTGTCATCTAAATTCACAGGATTCATTTTTCAAGTGTAGTGAACTAAACAGCCTTAAGGCCTTAGAAAAAGCTACCCTTATGCTCCATGTCCGAGTGAAGTGGGAGCACTTCAGGAAGACTGGAGGAAATTTCCAAAACCTCTCCCAGTACCGTAAGTGCCAGGGATAGGGTAACGGAACAAAAAAAAAAAATGCTACATGCCAGCTAAATGCATGAATTGTGGTGATACCTTTTACGCAAAGGAAGATCCTAAAAAATGAACTGTTCAAATTGTGGTGAAAACCACAAATCCAATTTTTGAGAATGTAAGACGCGAACCTACAATCTCGTTCTAAGCGACATGTAGGAAACACTCCACATTTCCGACCAGGTACAAATTCCTCTGCTGTTAACAACGGTCAGCGAGGAACAAATTCTACATTTGAACCCGTAGGTACAATTATCATCCCTGCTTCAAATTCTAGCGTGTACAGGAATCTTGTTAAGGAGGGGCATTTTTTTCTATGGTGCATTTAATCTGGGGATGGGGAGTACTCCAAAGTGCGTGGTGGATGTTGATGTCCACCCACCACTGTTTCCCTTGTGTTCAATTTAGCTAATTTTATTTATTTTTTGCTCTGGTAGCGGTTCATCTTCTGCAATGCAAACTGTTTTCAGACAGCCAATGGAATTGCCAATTTAATCTCATCGACGATGTCGATGATGATCGGTTCGTCAAATGGTCAATTCGTCAAATTAGAGCTGGGACTTCAACTATCTGGATACTTCAGTTTTTTTCAATACAATTACTTTCCGACAAATGAAATATCGTTGAATTGATTTTCAGTTTACAGAATATCATGCTTTCTAGTGCCCAATATTGAAATAAAATTAATTGAGAAAACGTTGAGATGGTTATCATGCGGATAGTAATTATCCGGATATCCGGATAGTGAAAATTTAAATGTATTCTCCCTTTAACAATTTTCTTTTTTACTGTTCTAAATATTTGTCATAAAGTTGGTTCTAGGTTGCCCATGTGACCTGATGTGGAATGGCAGATCTGTCAATTGCCAAAATTTAATAACATTGAAACATAAAAATATCCGGATACTCGAAGTCCCAGCACTAGTTGCAATAGTAGGGCTTTAACCGAAATGATACTTAGACTAATTCTTAGTAAGACAACAATAGACCAAGGTTATTTTTAGAACTCTTCTTGACTTTTACTCAGAACACCTTGGAATTGAAATTCCCCTAAAGTTTTAAAAGAATTTCCTCTGTATTCTCCAGAAATTATTTCCAGAATGAGCTTGAAATTATCCTCGGAATTCCCTTGAAATTTTCCTCAACATCCCTTTGGAATTTCATTCAAAATTTGATTATCTCGGTATTATTTTCGAAATTATCTTGGACCTATCTGCAGGATTAACTAGAAATTATTCGCAGAATTTTTATGAAATCAATCTCAGAAGTTTGTTTCACCATGCACCTTTGTGGTGCAATTTTCAGACTTTGCCTCTTCATGCAGTTCATGCAAATTTTCCACCATAAATTGTCAATGAAGCTTGCATTCATCAGAACGATGCAAATTATGCACCAGAAAAATGAATAAACCTTGCTTCTACATTCACCACAGTTATGCGAACTTTCCACCAGAAATTTTCAGTTAAATATGCATCTCAAAATTTTTGGCGTGATTAAATTTTTCCACCAGAGTTATTCATTTTGATTAGTTCCTTCATGTACCACCTTGATGATATTTTTACACCAAAAAAATTCAACAAAAAGCTATTTCTTCGATTTACCATCACGAAGGTGAATTTTTTTAACCTTAAATTTACCCTTTTCTTTTAACCCTCCATTAACCACCTTGAAAAAAATTACATTAGAAATTTTTTGTATGCACCACTCCACTGTGGTGCAATTTTTTGACCAAAAAATTTCATTGAAGTTTGTCCCTCCATGCACCTTTGTGGTGTTATTTTCAGGCACCATCTCATAGGTTTTCAGTGCTCTTATATTATGAAATGAAGTTATTTTACCTTCAAATCAATTTATCAAGAAATCGAGTTATTTTATATCATAATTTTGTAAATGTGGAAATAAAAATCTTATTTATAAAAGGTGGGGCAATTGCCCCACCTTGACCCACCTTGCCCCACCCTGTGCACGCCAGTACCTGCTCCCCTCGCTGCTAACAATGTTCAGCGAGTAAATGCTACCTATGCTTGTATTGCAGCTGGCAGAAAACAAAATTATAGCACACATAATTCTAACGGAAATTTTGATAATTTTGACTTAGGAACCATTACTGCTCCTAAAATTGATTTTTACAGAAATAATCAATTGACATGATTACTTATTAGCTGAAAACTAACTATATGTTTGATGTTATTCAAACTGGAGTTAAATTTGCGAACAACATCGTCATGACTTTGAAATTTAGTAATGGACTTTAAATCATTCAAAATTTTGAATTGGAATGCTCGATCTCTTAGAGATAATGAGGACGAGCTATTTAACTTTTTGAGTGTTCATAACGTGCCTATTGCACGTTAATTGCTTAATTGATTAATGTCAACTTTGTAACCAATTGGTTACCCATGCTGACTTCGGTTCTGATTGTCTTCAACTTTTGAAATATCCCAAGAAATAATGTCTAATCCCAACAGATCTACTTTCAATTACCATTGAGCTGATTGGGAGCAATATCGAACATTTATGGAATATAGCTTTGATCCAAACATTCCTTTGCAAACCAATGATGTTCATTATGCTCTTGAATCTCTGACTACTTCAAAAGTTGATGCAACAGCTGCCTCAGTACCAATATACGAGATTAAATTCGATTCAATTATAATAGACGATGATCTCCAGCTCTTGATCCGCCTGAAAAATGTCCGTAGGCGGCAATATTAAAGAACATACGATCCTGCCATGGAATTTGCAAAAACAAATTAAAAAGCGATTCTCTGTCCGGAGGAACCAAACTTTTGAAAATAATGTTCCGAAATTAGACCCGAGTTCCAAAACCTTTAAGAAGCAGAAACATTTTTTGGAAAAATAAAAACCCTCAAAAGCCTATTTCAGCCCTTAGAGAAAGATGGTAAAAAATTATATCACAAATTCGGAAAAAGCTCGAAAGCCTGCAAAGCAATTCGAGTGTTGCCATAATTTCAGATTGGGTCTGACTAGTCCTAATGAGAATCAGGTTGCTCGGGATTGTCTGAATATTTTCTCTCGGGAAAATATTTTTGATGATTCCTGGGCGACTGATTTGGACGAATTAAGATCTATAACTCAAAAGTTTCAACATATGAAAGCTCCAGCTGATGATGGTATTTTCTATATCTTAATCAAAAGCTTCCAAGAAAACTTATTGGGCGGTAGCTTGATGCTTCAGCTGGATTTTTAGCCAGCTTCAAAATTGGAACAACTTTTACATTTTTTCCATTTAGACAAGAGTACCTTGTATTTTTTGGTAACATTATTTGACAGATGTTTACATTTGGCATACCTTCCTGATAAATGGAAAAATGCAAAATTTGTTCCAATTTTGATGCCGGATAAAAGTACAACTGAAGTTTTCTTTCATCAATTAGTTTTTTTTATTTGAAAATATAATTTTGAATAGAATGATGCTTCACATCAATACCAACACTAAATTTTTGCAGATGAACAGTTTGTATTTCACAATGGACATTCAACTACTTATCAACTCTTAAGAGTTATGAAGTACTGAAATTGGGTTGTTAGTGGAATGCTTAAATAAAACAGCAAAAAAAGTTATCTTCCATTTAATTCCTCTTAATTATTTTGGTATCCATGCATACTTAGAAATACCTAATCTTACACGGGACGTAATCCATCTTTGACATAAAGTATGAGACCTAAACAAACATTTCATGTAAAATTAAGTGCTCCGAGACTGAAAACTTCGAAAGTACGTTTGATTGAGCTGAATTTCGCGTCTATTATGACTCAATTTTATGTCAAAATTGACGCTCGTATATGTCAGTCTCAGAGCACCTAAATTTACATCAATTTTTCTAAGTGTGTGGCAGATACGTATTTCGACTACAATGTGCAGCCTTGATCATTGTTATTCCCACTAAAGACTTATCAAAAACCTAACCCTCTGCATTACTCATCCCCTAGGTAAAAATGTCAAGATCACAGGTATAAAAATGAAACTACAATGTATAGAATCGGAACCTACCGGGGGAAGCGGGAATGAGCTAAGGCACGATAGCAGCGCTGTTTTAAATCTTTTCAGGTTCAAGCAGAACACTTAAGGCCCACGCACATAAGATCCGGATCGGACGCGTTGCGGCAAAGTGACAGCTAAATCTATTGTCTAACTGTCAAATTTACGTCAACGCAACGCAAACGGATCTAATGTGGGTGGCCCTTTAGAGATAACTAATTTTACACGTGACGGAATCCATCTTTGACATAAAGGATCAGACGTAAACAAAAATTTCATGTAAAATTAAGTGCTCCGAGACTGAAAAGTTCGTTACTCGACGAAAAGTACGTTCGATTGAGTAAAAGTTCGCGTCTGTTATGACTCGATTTTATGTCAAAATTGACGCTCGTCTATGTCAGTCTCAGAGCACCTCAATTTACCTGATTTTTTCTAAGTGTGTAGGTGATGTTGTCCAATATACCCAAGCTTCTCGGCGGTAAGATCCCCGTTAAGTATTTAATCGCAAATTAAGATAACGCAATCATAAAATACGCAAAACAAACATAACCTGTTGAAAGCTAATTGATGTCATTAACATCTAAAACAATCTAGCAATTAATACACACAATAAATCATATCATAATCTTACCAGCAACCACAGGTACGGCACAATGATGAGCGCTACGCCGGCGGCAAAGTTTCCAGCTCCGACCCCGAGGTTCCTCATGGTGGTTGGATATTGGTAGGCTGTAAACGTCGGAATGATAGCATTGCACGCCCCTACCGAACACTTGACTGCAAATAAAGACCACAATAAACAATCGTGAACGAATATCTGATTGTATGCCACCAACTCGGAGTCACTTGTCTGTATTCTATCTCTATTAAATGCTAATTAATTTGATCGTGCCACCATCATGCCTCACTAAGGACGCGTTCTACTAACAGAAATTTCTTGTATGAAATTTTTCCATTCTACTATCCTCGCCTGTGAAGGCTGGGCTGGTAAAAGAAAACTGATTCGTCTACTGCGCCCTACTTTGCTGAGATTTATCGAGGTTATGTCATTCATTAATTAATTAAGGATGGAAAGCAGCGTCACGTTCGTCTTACAGGTACGTAACGGACCTGAAAGTTTTTTCGTCATTCTTCTGCAATCTTTCTTTTCATCACTTTATCGTAACTAAACTAGGTAACTTATTCGGATGAGTCATCGCCATGGTCTTCAAAGGATCTAGAAAGAAAATTGACTTACCTATCATCGCAAGCGTGATAATCACCCACAGATTCCCGTCCGGGATAAAATTCATCAAGATGCACGAGATGCCAGCGACGACCATGTAGAGGAATAAATTAACACGTAATCCGAGCTTCAGCACGACCACGATGCTAAGGCAGATTGCAATCGATTCAACACTGCCGGCGAGGACCTGAGGATGGGGGTAGGTGGAAAGGCAGAATGAGGTGTAGGTAAAGTTTTGGATACATGAGACTCTCATGAGGAGAAAAGTTGTCGCTCCCATGGATTAAATGTGATTAGTTTCGATAATCACAATTAATTAGTTTTAGATCAGATGTGCTGGCAAGGGGTTGTCTAGAATTAGGTAGGTGCTAATAGGATTTGTCGTTCAATTAATCCACTAGCCACCCGGTAGTACACGGTTTATACTTACAGTGTTCAGATAGATGTCACCTCCGAGATTTCCGAGGTGCAGTGTAATTCCAAAGTAGATCAGAACGATACCGAACCAAACGACCAACATTAACAGCGTAGTTCGAAGGAATTTCATTCGGAACAGGTCAAAAACGGACACTACATCTTCGTTGCTTTCCGAGTCAGGCGTTTGAAGTGTTTTCTCATAGCCTGACGGTAGCTTGAATCCATTGACTTTGGCAGCTATGTCGATGATGGCCTTCAGTTCCTCAACCCGTCCTTTGGCTAGTAACCATCGGGGAGATTCCGGGCACCAGTACCATAAGAGCAGTAGAGTTGCACCGGGGATAGTGATGATAAACTGCATGAGTCGCCAATCGCGAGTGAAGAAAGCTATTCCGGCCGCCAGGACGTAGGAGATGGCAACCGGGAGGATGTTGAGGATACCGATGATTGTGCGGTATTTTCCACTGACCAGCTCGACAACCAGCACGAAACTTACCACGGCTACAGACATGGACGCGAAACCGATGATCACACGGAGGGTCATGTAGAGTTCCAGCGAGGTAACGAACCCGAGAAGGAAGCCTGGAAATAAACGAGGGATGTGTTAGATTCAGTTAAATGAATGCGGATGTAGATATTTACTATTTATCCAATCAAAATGTACATTGTACATAGTTCGTGGAAAATGGCACACACATATACAGTTGTAACTTTTTAACTATCATGAGAACAACATGCTGTCTAATAAATTTTCTACAGTCCAAGTATGAAATCAGGAATTTGTCATTGTTGCTGTTGAATCTTGGAAGCAAATAATTTTTTTAAAAATATTATTATTCGAAATATTGTACAGTTAGTCTCAAAAATCTCGTAAAAAGTTGGATCATGTTTTTGTTTAATTCTATCTTGTGTAACCTTTTTAGTTGGCACGTTAATGTGCCTAAATAGGTCCTTTTAGTTTTATTTATTCAGTTTTTGATAATTGATCACCAGTAAACACAACCAGTTATCTAAGTTAATGAGTAAAACATTGTATTTCTTTATTAAGTAAACTGAAATTCATTGTTTAAAGAAATACATCTGGCAACATTTGTTCAATGATATTTTTGCGTTCGCTAGCAAAGTAGTAGAATCAAAGTGGTTTACTTTGTGTTTTATTTTGGTCACCTATATAGTTGAGAAGCAGTTTTGTTTGTCGATTAACAAATTATCGCTGTAAAATAAGAAAATATTTGCTTTAAACTTTTGGATGAATGTGTGTGAATGTATGTGTATTCTAATGATGATGATTGAAGAATATTTCAAAAGGAAGAAGAATACAAACTGAGTGACGGTGTCTTGAGCCTTAAGAAATGAAGACCTTTCTAAATAAATTAAAAATCAATCCTTTTAGGTCAAATCAAATCATATTTTGATATATTGGCTGAATATTCACTTCAGCCAAGAGATACACGTACCCTAGGTCTGGCGAAGACGCATCGTAGTCATCCATAGGATGCCACCAGCCGCACAGTGGGACGAAATTAAAAAAGGTGGGACATGGCCATTTGCGGCGAAACTATTGATTTCTTTCATTTTTGAGTACTTTATATAAATGGTGAAAATGTTTGCTTGAGGTATACACTAAGATAAAAATAACTATGTCTTGTTGATGAACATCTACGAAAACATTGTAGATGATATCATTTCTCATTTATCATTTAGAAAACACGATCATTTTCGATGTCCCACTGTGAAGTTGGTAAACAAAGCAAACCAGTGCATGAGCTGTGCATGACTCTCTTGTAATGACAGTACCTAGCTGTTCGTTTTTTCATTTCTCGTAAGTAGTTGAAATGCTGTGAAACGCTGTTACGCGAAGTTTTGCAGCTGCACTGCAAGTCCAGCGGTAAAACGAGGCTTATTTCTAGGCTTGTTTCGATAAGTTCACATTACTCAACCCTTCAAGTAAACAGAAAAGTGTTTTCATAAGCTACAAACTGGATCAATATTTCCTTGGGCTGAATAAGAATTTCTCAGATTACAGTTTGTGAAAGATGAAAAATGTAATGTTCAGGATACTATGTGCTCGATACTTTTCAAAGTTCCAATCGATTTGCCTGAATGCCATGAAATTTAATCTAAGCTGATCAATTTATTCATTTCATATCGTTCGAAAAAAATTCTGTTGTAAATTAAAAAAAAAATTCAATCGCAAATCAATGATGATGTAAGATTTTTGCTGTTGATAATTATGTTTGTTTTGATTTTGATTAGATAATAATTCAGTTCTTATCAACTAAATAATAAAAACAAAGCTCAGAAAATACGTATTTGTCTCATAATGATGAAGTTATCTTCGATAAAAATAACGGTTGACTTTTCACTCAGATTTCAATACCTTCTATCTGTTTCCTTCTTAAAATGACAGTAAACACTGGTTCAATTTTAACAGTTCAAATTGGTTCGTAAATCATTACGTCTTCGCCAGACCTAGCACGCACCGTTACAACATCCCAGCGCGTTTCAACTTGCCCGGTGTACCTCACATGAAGTTTATATGTATGGCCTGGATCATGAGATATTACACGTACACAAATCTACACGCACAAATGAGCCACATAGTGAGCACATTTTGAACTAAAAATACACTATACATATTGTTGGCTTTTGTAATCTAAACAACATTGCAGAAGACCGCATTCTTCTATCTAACACATATCATGAGAACATTATGCTATAAATGTTGATAAAACGGTGTTTTCTAAAGACACCAACATCACCTATTGAATCGATTCCGAACTAAAAGGGCTAATTCCTTCAAGAGATTGTTCCATAGAACAATTTTTTGTAAGTCGTCCATAACTTTTGAGCTCAAGTTTCTCGACAGTTATCAAAAATGTAACTGATTTACAAATAGATCACTGGGCGTTAATGGGATCACCCTATTTGCAACTTTCATCAAAATAAAGGCAAAAACGAGACACTATGCTGCTAAAGTTGCAATTTCTGGATCAAAATATTTATTTCCTGGATGCTGGAAAATGAATTCTAAATTCAATAATGAAAACCTTTTACTATGGAGATGTTGGACGAGCAATTTAACTCCCAACCACCGTTTTCAATATATTGAAGTTTTATTTATCAAAAAATGTAAGTTATAGACTTAACTACACATATGTACAATTGACAGCTTCTAAAATCTTTTTACACGCCATTATTCATTCCTCCAAGATACGATTCGGCTTTGTTCAAACAAAGTGTGGCTAGCGACGTACACTCTGTCAAGTGTATGTATATCTGGCCTTGGACACACACAAATCTTAACACGAAGCAATATCCTGGATAATTCAAGCTTCCTAAGACAGATGAATTCATCTCCATATCGACTCAACCAATCTAAAATCACTATTTAATCATTTCACGATCAGGGTAAATTGAAATGGTTTGCGTTAATGATTATAATTATAAAGCAATGGTTTGCATGCAAAAACGGCTAGGCAGTAAAATCAACAAAACGTGAATTCTCCAATTTGTGTCCATTCCTCATGAGTCATGGCGGCAGTTTGGTTAGCACGTTTTACTTATCAAATTGGTATGCTTCCTTTTACAAACATACGGGCGACACACTTGAGTTGAAAGATACTTGCCATCGTGTTCTGCCTTCTGATTCTGGCTACGAGAGGACTTGCTTAAATTACACGTCTTGAGATAAATGAGATGACACGCAGGCGTATGCAAGCAAAAACAAAGTGCGGTTCACGTTTGTTTTCTCGAGAAGCAGCTTTATAGCGAACGTACACCGCAAAACCTAAATCAAAGTTTAAGTGGCAGTAAATTGATTTGATAAACCGCAACCTGAGTAATTCGATTTGCATGGCATGACGGTAGCGGGTGACGATCATGTAGCTATGTTTGAGCTAGTATCTGATGTATGTAGGGATACCGCAGTGCTAGTACCGCCAGTAGATAGGTAGGTACATGACACTTTTTGTTCTAATGCAATAATCTTGATGCGATGAGAGTCGGAAGATAGCAAGTAGGTAGGTACCTACCTAATGACATGAAGGCTGGAAGTTGTGCCACCGATACACACGAGAGCTTGACGGGAGAAGATGTCGGAGAAATTGCAATATAATTGAATGCAATTAGACATAAACATTCACTGCATCGTGTGATCAGTCAGCGGCGTTGCATCTCTGTTTTTCAAGATTTGTCAAACAAAAGAAATATAATTGTTCGATTATCGCTGGAATTAGCGGCATTTGTACTTGTGTAAGATCATACATATGACTGTTATTCCAGGTAGCGTAATTCTGAACTAGTTGTACTAGTCAATAGCGGAGGGCTATTTGTTAGATTTTAAATTTTCTATATCTCAGCACGTGAGCTGCGTTATGTATTACGGATCTTTCAAATCTTTAAACCACAAACAATTAATCTATTTTCTAACTTCGCAATCTACAACATTTTTAAAGTTCATCGTCTCGAATACAGCATTTCGAAAAAATAGTATGTCCCAGAATCACGAAAATTTCTCTTTATGATTGTTAATTATTGATTTATCTTCTAAGTTTGAGATTTCACAAGTATCAGTCCCAGAATGAAGAATGACAATGAATTTTTAAAATCATGTTGTTTTTTATCCTGGAATTTTACGATTTTGCCTATATTTGAAGGCACTTATTATGCAAGTTTCATGTACCTCAGTTTTTTCATCACAGAAAGTTGATATTCACTAAAAATATACATTCAATGAAGGTTTTAAAATATTTTATCTTGGGTTTGAGAAAAAGTGATTTGATGTTAAAATAGCCGTTGTTCGCAAGTATAAAGGAAACTATGATGATTTAGGAGTCGCGTAGAAAGTTAACGCAGATTTTTGCAAATTACTATGAGAAATTTTTAAACTTCAGTAATTTCCCTCTAACTTTGGTTCAAGTTGTCCAAATTCTGTCAAAATTGAATATGGGGTTTCTTTGATAATAATCAACAAGCATATTTTTGTTCTAATGAAGTGGGTGAAGTTAACATTCGAATATTTAGCTCACATGTTTACCTATTTTATTAATTTTTGCATTTGCAACTCTCTATAATTGTTCAAAAACAAACTCTAGCAAACAAAGTTTTTAACCCTATGATCCTTGTCCTATGTACAATAAGGACTGAAAGGATGATTAGAGGAAACATATAGGTGTTTTCACAACATAATATTGTAGAGGCATACCCTAAGAATATTATAAAATAGAAAAAAAACCTTCCACGAGTAATACGCAAACCTATGTTTCACCCACCAAATCAATTCATAACCTGAGAATATAAGGTGATGTAAAAATGGCTAACGATTGGGGAACATTTTTGCGAATTACTATGGGATGTTTTTTTTTATTTCACTAAATTGGTTCGAGCAGTCCAAATGCTATCAATATTGAATATTTTGTTGCTCCCAAGTAACATTATTCGTTTTATTAAGTACCTGGTATTTATTACATCAAGCAAAACTTCATTAAGACTAGAATCTGACCAGTTGGCCTACCTTGGAGAAGGTTTTGAAGAGAATATTTTCAGACACTTCAAGATTGATTTGCTGAAAAATGGTCATA